TCCAGAAAGCTCACATGTGCATGACCTTGCATGCAATACTTATGATTCATATGCAGAAGTGGATCCGGATAATTATGAAGGCAAAGAAAAAAATAAAAATTAACATCTGAATATTCTCAGACATGCAAACTCAAGCAGGGAGTACTGGGGGGAAAATGGCACAATGTAAATTTCTCAAAAGACACGGTCGCACACGTGCACATGATAAATGAACAACAGGGTTATTCATGAGGCTAATCACCATTTGTTAGCTATAATACATATTGAATTTTATAGCTAACTTAATTTAAGTGACATCATGGGGGGAAAGAAGACATTTAGATGATTAATGCATGACAGAATATTTACTCTGGCATCAATTTTCTTCAGCGCTCCTAAAGAGCTTTTGTGTTTATTTTGTTGATGCCAACCAAAGCAAACTGGATGACTTTGACATTGGTTTTTCTCTCTCTCTTTCTCTGTTGCCCTCTCCTACATTGTGTCAAATCATGTCATGGAGCAGAAGGATGAGAAGACAGGAGTATGTCCTCATGAAATCTGGGACATGTCCAGAGAGTGGTTTGTAAAGCCTGCGGGGCGCGGTACACAGACGTCCATGTGAAAGACAGCAGCACCCTCCCTTGCAAATACTCACCATCACTTCAAGCTGCATAAAATTCCTGCACAGAGCTTTAAGAGAATATCACCGTCGAGGTGTTAAATAACTTAAAATGGGACTATTTCCAACCTGGATCACTTGTGGCTGATGGGGAATAATTTAGTAATTAACTCAGGTTTCCAACACAACACAGTGCAAATTACCATTATAAACATACACGAAAACTCATCAAGCTGATTTATTTATAGGGGCAAAGAAACAATTACATGATGTAAAGTTGTTCATCAAACTACTTCTATTGACCCCAATTCAAGGCGCTTTTCTCGAAGCTACGACCATTTACCTGACTGAGAGAAAGGATGTGCCCTCCGGCCTAAAGATAAAGGCCTTTGATATAACTTAGCCAACGTCAAACAGCCAGTAGATGAGCCCTGTGAAGATAAAGAGCCAGGACTGACAGGTCTGATAAGAGTCCAAACAAAGAGAAAGTGGAGAGTAAAGGCCTCTTTTCAGGGAGTTAAGTGGGCTGCCCAGAGGACACTCGAAAACATGGCTCATCTGTCAGGGATGGCGGGAATGGATACCATCACCGACGCTTCGTCTCTGCAGTCCTGCTAGATAGGAACTAGAAGATGTCTGAAGAAATTTAGACATACTCAACTTTTCACAGAGCTTTTTGCATAGGGGCAAATATTTTTCAAGAAAACTCACTGAAAACCATCATTCTATTAGGAATAAAAATGTGCCAATAATACTAGATTACAGCAGAAGTCAACAATGTGCCTGGTGCTGTAGACGACAGTTTTCCTTTTTTTTCTTGTGAAAATATGTCATAAACAAAGTTGAATTGACAAGACCGTAAGAATTACATTCGGCGTACTAAACATGGCTAAGAAGTAAACAAAATAGCTAAAAAGATTATTTTAGGGTAAGGGCTACTGCTAATGTTTGTGCTAATGTTAATGCACTGCCTTCTGATTTTTACTTTGGCACAAAACAAAATCAGATGTTTACTTCGTGGCACTTTGTTACCAGAAAACATCTCTTAGCAACAGATTAACAACAAACATTGTTATTGTTCAAAAAACATGAGACTTCTTCTGCTCTGTTGAAATACGACTTAACTTACACCACTGAACAAGAATTGCGCTGTTGGTGAATTTTTCAGAAAAACTAACAATTTTTTTGTCGTTAGTGATAAATGTATTATAAAACAGACAATCAACACTAAAGATCTGATTCATATACGTGACAGTTCATTACCAGGAAAAAAAAGCTAATCTCTTTACATGACATTAATTATTGTTTATAAAATATAAACTATTTTGAAATACACAACAGACTAACAGTTGGCAAATTTTGCGGAAATAAAAATCTGATGTTTACGTCGTGGCGCTTGGTTAAGCACTCACAGCTTATTGCTAAGAGCATGTGAGCAACAAATATTGTTATTGTTCCAAAAACCTAAAATTTCTTCTGCTCTTTTGAAATTTTTATACTGCTTAATATTTAACACGAATTGTAGAGTTGGTTAATTTTTCAGAACTGTTTATTTTTTTGTTGTCATTGGTGGTAAAAAAAAAATTATATTACAGACATTCAACACAAAAGTAAAAATCTGATTCACACTTTGGCAGTTCGTTACTAGGAAAGAACGCTCAGATCTTAACACCAAATTAATCGTTGTTTGTAAAACATAAGCTGTTTTTAAATACTGCTTATCTGCTTAAACTCAATGGATTTACAGTTTTTTGTTTCATTCTCTATATTTGGCTGTGGGGATCTGAAACATTTTTTCCTGCTCTTATTTAATTTTCACATAACAGAGAACAAGTCATGCATTTTGATGCTCATTTTGCATCCGTAGTTCAGAAAGTTGACCTGATCACCAATGTGATTTTTGGATTCAGCACGTCGAAATGACCCTTCAGCAGTTGAAAAACCTCAGACAATCCTTTGGCTGTTGACCAGCGTAATCAAGGCTTGGTTATTCTGTCCCTCAGAGAAATCTAGTCACTTTTTTTCTAATATTATTCATAATAATGTTTGTTTGTAAGCATATTTATGAACTATTTATGAGTCAAGGAAGTAAAAAGACTATATAAAAAAAAAAACAGACAAAAGACTTTGGTTTTGTTCCAGGGAAAACAGTGGAATCCCTGGAGATTATGGTGGAAAGAATGATTCTCTGCACAATCAAGAACATCATGAACAACTTTACACTCCCTTTACATGAAACATCTTTATGACAGTTGGAAGCTTCTCCAGAGCCGCCTGAACACAGACCGCTACAGGAGATCGTTCCTGCCCACAGCTATCAGGATCTGCAGCACTTTGGAGAACCTTGGATAATATGAGTTACAACAACATTTAATTTCCCTTTGGGATCAATAAAGCATTTTTTAGCAGAATTTGAATTGTAAGTGACTGAGGTTGGCACCAAGATGTAAGTAGTGGGGCCAAGGCTGTTGAATAAAAGCCTGTTATTTGCTGTGTGGTTTGCTCATTTCCGTTGTTAGTGTTGTGCCAGACTCTGCTACAGCTGAGTGGAGAAACTGTCTCTCCTTTCCTTTCCTTCCATTTCTACATTAACAGCTTGTGTTTTTTTTGTTTTTTTTCACCCACACACTTAGCTTTGAGTGTGAGCTCCGAGGACAGTTGGAAGCCATAAATGTCGCATTAACATTATACTCTGCTGCAACACTTATAGCACACAAGTAGCAGCCTGTAATTTTACACTTAATTAATGTAATATGAACCTTGTGGAGCCGTAACATCCACCAAACCTTTTCAGATACCTGAAATAAGAGAGTTTAAAGACTGTAAGACTTCAATATACAGATCTTTTTTCTTTCACTGAGCATGCTGAAATGCTCTGTCCATGGCCAGTCACTATAGGTCCACCATCTGCAAAAAGACCAATTCACTCTGCTTTACTGTATTTGGATTGCTCAGAACAGCAACTCAGCTCCTCATTCTTCATTTGATAGATTTTTATTTGACAGCACTTTGCCTAACAATGACAAAAAAACGTTAATAAAAACAATACTTTAACCTGTAAAACAGCAGTGAAGACTAGCTACCATTCCTCAGAGAGGTTTATGATATTTTGACTGGCTGAATTTGGGGGGTTACTCCATGTTTTCTGTTTTATGAAACAACCAAACTGATGACTTATTTAACATGTTCTCAAACTTAACAGTTGAAATTGAATTAAATCAGTATGACAGCATAAAGAAGGTAGGATAATAGACCTCAAAAAGCAACACAACATGACCCAAACAAGAACAAATGAGAAATAGTCTTTGACATCCGTCAGTCTGGAAAGGGATAAATACTGTTTCAGAGACCATGGGGTTCCAGTGAATCACGGTGAGATCCATAGCATCCACAAATGGAGAAAACATGGAACACAGTTGCCCTGTAGACCGATGAGACAAAAGTATATTGTGCCTCATCTCTGCTGCAAAATCAGTGCAGTATTACAGGAAAAGGACATTATTTTCCGGTCCTGACATGGTAGTGGTGGGCAAGTCGACATCTGGACCGAAATCCATTTGAGATATATGGCATGACCTTAAACAAACACTCAAGGCAGTTGATGCTGTAAATGGGTGAACAACCAGATAATACACTGATTTAAATACTTTCCCCCCTTAATTAAAGTAAACGAATCATTTATAGCCTTGTTTGATATTAAAATTTGTTTGACAATCTACATGAATTTTGAAAAGGGAAGAAAACCAAGGAACTATTTTTAGCAACCCTGTAAATACAGACAGTTGAACAATAAAAAGGCATCCTTTATAGATTTACAAAGAAAAAAGTATTACATGGACATATACGGTAAGTTTTTACTATCATGTAGTTCCAAACTCTTAGCCTTGTCGTTATACACTTCTGGTAGAGACTTAGAAAACATCTTAAATTGTTGTTGTTTTTTATATATATATATATTTCATTGTTGGCAAATTGGCATTTGTAGGCTATCTGAAGAATTTGGTCAAAATAATTTCATCAACAAAAACTCCAAATTGTTAATCTTCCCAAAATATACCACATTTTATCACCAACACAAAAGCAGTCTGTATCTGTAGATTTTGTTTGTAATTCACCAGTAGAATAGTTTGAATTGTCAGATAAGCATTCTGTAGATATGGTGTATCTGTGTAAAGACTGGTGAAGACCAAAAAAATTCTTAGGGAAGAAAAATATTATATAAATTCTTCCTATCATCAAATCTCCCCAAATTATAGATCTATTTTAACATGAAATGGTTTCAATGTTCCATAAAAGACCTTTGTGATGACCAGAATTGTGTTAAAACATTTTCCAGACACCTGTTTAAAAACCTCGGGCTTTTCCTCTCTGGAGCGTCGCAGGACGATGACGTCACCGCCGGATGACGTGTCGGTTTGTTTACAGCGCTGCAGCGGCTGCCTCAGACATGGCCGTGGACATTACATTACTGTTCAAAGCCAGCGTGAAGACGGTGAAAACCAGGAACAAGGCCATCGGGGTGAACGTGGACAACGCCAAAGATGAGATTTTCAAGAAGAGCCGACCGAAGAGCGGCTTCTCGCTGAGAGCCAAGGAGGTGGTGAGTGTTTACCAGGCTAGCGTTAGCTTTAGCCTCAGTTGGAGCAAAAATAAATAAATGAAAAAACGCGACCACGGTAACGAAACCTGGTCCTGGAGCTCCGTGCAGTTATGAAGTGTGCAGAAAGACGCGCAACATTTGCTCATCGTTCAGTAAACAGAGGCGGAATCAGCGGTTTCTATTATTGAGCCTCAGCTGCGTTTCTGCACAGAAGTGGAAATGTGTTTCAGAACCATCCGAACAAATAGCAATTTAAATAGTACCATCATCTTGTCTGTAGAAAAGTGTTGGAAATTTGTGAGAAGCTGTGACTCAAAATGATAACAACAACAACAAAAAGAAATGAAATAGCAGATATTGCTATTAAACTCTCAATGAATGAATGAACATTAGTGAAATGAATTGCTCTTTCTTTAGCAAAGTTAAGTGAATGTAGCAGTCTCTTTTCAGTCAAAACATCTCATTTCTATTTTTGCAGCTACAAACAATTATATGCAGAGAAATAAAAAAATGCATTCAGCTTGCATTGTTTTTCTGAATAGCAATTTTAGATAAATCCTGAAATTAGAATGTATCTTTTTCCAGTTTTTTTTAATAGGAACACAGCTTGTGTGGATTAAAAATGTGCTGAAATTTTGACTCCAGTTCTTAAAAAACTGGAGTCAAGCAACAAACATTTCCCTACGCTAGACGTAATTCAAACGTGGGTTTGTCTGACCAATACTTGACAGCAGCAATGTTGCTGACTGGCAGTAAAGGATAGTCTATGTATATATGTATTTCTCTAAAAGACAACCTGCTACACCTAAAAATCTGTTTTTACAGCATCTTGGTTACATTTCCTGCAGCTGCAGACTTGATGATGTTAAAATACCAACGTAAAATATGAATGGAAGAGAAAAAAAGAAACTCAGTTACAGTCACTTTTTGTGTCCGTGAGAACAAGAAGGAGTAGTCATAACAAATGAGGGGAAATTAGAGCACACTAAAACTAAATAGTGCAATACTTAGTAATCCAGAAGCACTGAAATAGGTCATGCAGGTTTGAGTAGGGAATTCAGGTGTAAAGACAGCAGCCAGGAGAAAGTTGTTATCCCTCCTATAGTCTGTTTCCTGATATAAGCCACTCAGTCACTGCGAAATCATGGAAGATTTTGTTAGATTTTGCCGTGTGATTCCATAGTTTTCCCATCAAACAAAGCAGAGCAAGCTTGGACAGGGTGACAAAAACCTGTGGCGCAAACCTTGATTTTAAACAGCTCAGTAACTTTCAGGCATAATTTATCACTGGGAATAGACCAAGGAAAAACATTCAATGTCTGTTCAGAGAAAAGTTTGTTTTCTTAAAGCTGTCATCTGAACGTTTGCTTTGTAGTAGTGCTCAAATTGAGTAAAGGTGGTCACAGATATGAGGGAGTCCATGTGCATGGTTTGTGAATCTTCAGATTGGCATGTCAAAGTAACGTCCATTTGCGTGGAAGCAGTCATGTTTTCTCAGTAGAACATTTCTCAAACCATCACACAGCCTCCACTAGTTTACCACCAGTCATCCTGGTGCCATGTTTTGTCTCATGTTAGTGACACACACACATATAATCATTTTTATGATTATATGTGGTTCCATCTTCTGGTTCTATACATTCATAGAACCAGAACACGTAAGTCATCTGTCTTCCAGTTTTGAGGCTCACATGTCCAAACTTGGTGCATTTACTAATGAATAGAGATCAACATTTTAAGAACAGTAATCTATTCATCATTTTATTACTCTTATTTTGTAAGCATAAACATGGGAGAAATAGATGATAAATTCAGTAATAGCTTTCAAGTAAACATGCTTATTGCAAAGATTGTCATCCTTTTTATTCATTCTGCTCTCTTCAGATATTAACTAGCTGGGATATCTGCTCTGGAAGCCAGTTGAAGTTCAGCTGTTTTTCAGACATGCCACTTGTATCTTCCCATAAGGGATGTCAATTAAAATAATAGTCAAATTAATAAGAGTGATGGTTTTACTCCTTTAGATTGATGCCATTTTCAACAACCAGAAATGTTTCCGCACAGCCAAACTGATCCTAATTGTAAACAAAGTGCATGACCCTTCTTTCAGTTGACGTACTGACAGTTCACAGCACCAAGAGGAAGGTTGTCGCAACACTCTGTGCTACTTAGGAAAAACTCCTACTCCAAAACATACCCTGGCATCTCACTAAAAGGCCTCACAGCCGCAGCTATCCTATTTAAAATGTTAAACTTGAAAGTATGTTGTTTAAAACCTGTATTTTCCAGTGACCGGCTCATGTCTGATGCAGAAGCTGCGAAGTCGAACAGACTTTACAGCTGGGAGAGCATGAGAGAAGAAATGGCACATGGCAGCAATAACTGTAGGCATGACTTAGTCTTTATACAAGAATTTATTCTTCCCAAAGTCACATTTGTGCTTCGATTCTTTTTATTTTTGTTTTCTTAATTTATGTGCACTACCGAGCAAAAACAAGCCTCGTACAGTTGAGTGTGACCACAGCTGGTTACAGGACACACCGCCATGTTTTGACCTGCTGCAGAAAACTGAGAATTTGATTCGTTTGGAAAAATGAAGTAGACATTCTTCATCATCTGCAGTTGGCAGTAAGGGCCGCTAATCGGCAGCTGAAGGGTCTTTGGTCCTCTGCTGGTGAGAGACCTCGTCCTGAAGAAGCACTTCATGATTCCCCGGGGAGGCAGAGGCCATCTGGTCGTTCCCAGCGGCTCCGGCCTTCGCTTTGAGGGAGACGTGAGGCCAATTGCTGCAGCTCTGCGCAGCCAGGTTCTTGTTATGTTCCCTTATATTGATTTTGGAAGTGGAGTTTTAATAAAAGTGCCGCTGCTGCTGCTGCCGCTTCCAAAGAAACCTGAACCTATCCTGTGGTGCCTGGCTATTGCAGCCCCCCAACCTCTCATCCCGCTGTCTGCTCCTCGGTGTAGATACCATCTCAGATCATCTGTGGAAGGATTTTTTTGTTTTTTGTGGAAAATGCAAGTCTGGAATGTCTTGACTGCCTCAAGTTATGTCGTAGTTTTCAGCCACCTTAGCCCAGTTCTCCTGTCCGTTCTTCTCTTCACAGCCTGACATGTGCAGCTTTTTTTTTTTTTTTTGCCCGACTCGCCTCTTCCCATGCATGATTCCATAAACATGCTGCAATAACATTTTCTTTCGGCTCTCAAACAATTTTTGAGGAAAACCGATCCTCCCAAGAGCCAGTGATTAAAGGTGGAAGATCAAAACAGAGAAAATATTAAATTAGGTCCCCAGTAACAATGTTGACGGCCGGCACCTAATGCACAACAGATGTGGGTGCCCTTCAAGACATGCATAACTCTCCCACTAACTCTCTGTCCCGACTTCCCATTGGAGGCTCACCGAAATAGAAAGAAAACATAAAAGTTGACAAATACACAGTGGTCTTATGAGACTCCCTTCTTTTCTTTTTTTCCTCCCTCCACTCAAACTTTAACAGAGAAAGAAAGGAAATGTTGCTCCATTCAAAGTGATTTAAAAAAAAACCCTGTTTTGATTGGCTAATAGGAGAGCTAGTGTTAGTGTGATGAGGTTTGGTCGGGGGAATCTTTTTTACCTCGTAGGGGCCGCTGTGGAACGCTGTGATCTCCGTTTCACCGCTCACCTCGTCACTCCCCACAGCATGCTGCCCTTCTCAACTTTAAATGGACGAGGTCACTCTGAAATTGTTAAATTGGGTGTAGAAAACAGCGCGGGGCTCCCCGCTGTGCCGTCAGGATTGCCATTCCAAAATCTGCTCCTTCTCGCTGTGTTTTCTTTCGAAAGTCTGAAAAGCGAGGCCGGCAGCCAGCTCTTTAAAGTGCGCTGCGATATTATCCTCTTCCCTCTATACTAAAACAGCATACTTATACTTTCAAAATATTTTCGTTCATCTAGTTTTCTTAGCATTTTTTGAGGATGATTTAGTTTCAGATTAAATATGATGAAATTATACTTGACTCGCGAAACAACTTTTGATCGCTACGAATCTCTGAACATTAAAATTTGATTATTTTGAGGTTGATTCACACTTAGTTGTTTTAAGGAATAAGGTGACTTTTGTTTTTTGTGTTTTTTCATTAAAATTAAGAAACTAAAGTATATTTGGAAAATAGAGAAATGTGTACTACTGGCATGCCTTGTGTAAAATCATCTAATTAATCTTTCATCGCAGTGGTGTCATACTAAAAAATTACTCTTTATTTTTTACAGTCATTAAAGTGAATCTCCTTAGTGGGTCAAAAAAAATCATCCGAGCCATACATTGGCAGCTACTTTACATTAGTTTAGAAAAATATAACAAATTTTATTATAAGATGTGAGGTAAAGAGAATGAACATGACACATCTGACCAAGTCTTTGTTTTAGTGTGTGTTTTAGTTTTGAAACATATTCTCCTTTTATCAGACTCTTTAAGTTCAATTGCTAAATTGAACTTAAAGTTTGAGATTTGTAAACTAGATTATTTCAGAGCCTGTTTAATATTTTTTTTAAGTTACTTGTATAGAAAGGTATAAATTAATATTTAAATAATAATTAGTGATGACACCCTGAACAATTGCCATAAAGCAAATGACTAAATAAATGTGTAAATTGCAAATGCTTGAACAACAAGCACTTTTCTTCATTCTGTGTTTAGTTTCAAAACTTTTATTTATGTGAGGGTTTAATTACATCATGACGCGGAGGACTGTTCCTTTTAGTCACTTTAAAATGAGAAAGACAAGAGAACATGCTGCTGAAGTGAGGCAGAATAGGTGGGGAGCTTCATAATCAAAGGACCCGGACACACATTGTTGGTCATGGTAATGAGGGTCAGGACAACATTACACATATTAGCTAATGTGCCTGAGTGTCTTTACCTGGACTGCAGATGAATGTGGATGGTTGAGAGGTCAAGCTAGAAAGTTATCTTGCTATGACTATTTTGGTAAACGATATAATTATTAGTTGACTTATCATA